CACTCTCTCTCCCTCTCTCTCCCTCCATGTTCAAACTTCGTCAGTGCTCAAAAGAAAACTGTAAAGGGAGACTTTAACTATGTTTCCGCATGCTTCTCCTTTTTTTCAGTGAGCACTTCAGTTTTCTTTTAAACCGCACTACTCAAGACTATCAATCGCAGGATGTGTTTCCAATGCTCAGATCAGGTCAGAGCACTAGTCCTTTTCAAGGATACTTGTACCGGATAGATACTAGGGATCTTCGAATCATGTACTGGCAATCCCACTGGCCGCGCATGGGACATGCGACAACAATCATGGCTCGCCGCGCAGGTGGGCGTGGCCCGCTATGTCGCCTGCCGCGCGCGGCCAATGGATAGTCGTAGCGGCATGTCCGAGGTTCCACTGCAACGTTTTCTGACCTCTCTAAAGTGCTTGAACAGGAAAGATCATAAGATAGGGATGTTAGTTTTCTTGTCATTGTGGAACATATCACTCGGGCCGCCGCGCCCATCGCCGCACAATGCGCCGTGCACGACAGATTACTACTGTCTCGACCGTAACTGGTAACGTACAGGACCGCGTGTCTGTGATACTCAGTGCCAAACAAAGGACTGATTGGTTCGAATAACTGTTGGGATGTTGTGTCTATTTGTCGCTTTATTCGCATTCTTTTATTATCTATCTCGAAAAATATCAACACAAGACGTATGTTAGTAATCGAACCGGTAATAATCTTCATTCACAAATAACAGATTAGAGCACGTGAGCTGACTAATAGCAGCTTTTTCACTTGTTCTGGCCTTTCTTCTCAACGTTTATCGGACTGTGCCCTGTGAACGTTCCTTGACCGGTCGAACAACTTGTTATCTGTAAAGCTATTTATCACCTCAAATATCAAATTTGAATAATAAACTTTTACTCACCGTATCGAGATCAATCTTTTGTGAAAGGTTGGCAGATCTTTCCCACAATAACTGCCCGTTGAATCTAATGGTTAGTGGTTTAAAATCGAGAGTAGGCTCATCGTTCTGGAAAAAAATTGTATGTGTTCATTTATTCTTACAGCACGTCACGAAAAAACGCAATATTTTTTGAATATAAATCCAGCACAGAACTCTCACATCATCCTCTCAGCGACCACGCGGTCAATGTTTATATAAGACCGTCCATACTTCGCGACTCGGCGTTTTGCGTTCTGGGAGAATCAGCGTTTTGAGCAAATCGGCGTTTTGGGCGCTAATCGATACCTACACAATCCTTTTCGCTCATAATACCGATTCGCTCAGAATGCTGATTCGCTCAAAACGCCGATTCGCTCGAAATGTTGATTCTCCCAAAACGATGAGTCGCCAAGTATGAACACAGTCCAACGAGAGGCGCGCGGCCATGGCGAGAAACATGCAACATGTCCGTTTCTTCGTAACCGGACAAAAATTGATATATAGAAGGTAGTAGTGTACTCACCGTAATCGTGTAGTGTGTAGTGAGCCTGTATATTTTGCCTTTAATGTCGGCTAGTACGACCATAGGGACTACGAATCGATATCGATGAGGTGAAGCTGAAAGGATACGAGGATTCTATTGAGTTACAACAAGGGTTATTTACGAGTTACATCAGTACAGTACTTCTGGAATCCTCGCACGGATAGAAAAAGATTCGTACAAAAACCCAGGTAGAAGTGAGGTGGGTCAGCCGCAAAACTGTCAATGAATATAAGTTTGAATGAGGGTAACGAGTAGCTCCAGAAATCCACGTGGAGCAAAAGTCTAAGCGATACTGACGTGTTGAAGGTTTAGGTTCCAACAGAGGGTGATAATACGATAGTTGATCGCAACCTTGGTAATAAATGGACGATTGATATCTTCTTGCTAGGGAAATACGCCCAGTTCACCCGTCTTGGAAGTCTTACACAGCAGTGTCACCTCCTGAGGCTCCGGCGGAGACCTGAGCGCTTAGTTGCTGCCCGTCTGAGATCTGCGCAGTCTATACCCCCATGAATCCCCAACAAGAGCTATGCCTTCTAATAGATCGATCAGCACTATGTAACGGTCACTCACTTTGTTGTGGCTCCATTCCCGTACTGTCCAAAGGAGGAGCTTGAGCAAGCACTTCATCCCATCTGAAAAAATAAGACAGTCTTGATCCCATGAATGATGGGCCTGGGCGGGGCGTGGACTGGAGCGCAGCCTGAGCTGCCTTTCCCACCGATGACGCCATCCTGGAACGCAACAACTGGCGGAGCTCTAGCCGCGCTTCAACTTGCTTTCAAACATATTATCTTTTGCGGGTTCATCGTTATACAGGGGGAGGGGCAAAAAAAGACACTTTTCTTCCTTGACTTTCGAGGCGCTATAAGTTACACTTTATTAAATTCTGATCGGACATTTTTACCACCATATTAAAGAGCATATTAAATACTATCATGACACTCCGCCACAGCCTTCTGGACGAGCGCCATCGAGAGATTCTGGCACGCGACCGCGATGTGGTGCCTGAGATCAGCGAGATAGTCGATTTCTCCGCCGTAGACCACCCTATTGAACTCCGCCCGAACCAGGTAATTGAGGGGGTTCAGGTCAGGTGACCTGCTTAGATATTCCATCTTCTTCAGGTACTCAACGCCCTTCCATTCCAAGTAGGCGAGAGTTTTTCCAACGCCCTGGTGTCACCCAATCCTGTAGCAGTACAAAGTTTCCAAGAAGGTACGGGCGACGACATGTGGGGAGGATATTCTTCTCGAGTTGCTCGATGTAACCGCCAGCGCTCACCTTCAGTCCGGGGTCCACGAAGAAATATCGGTCTTTCCATTCCAGGTACGTCCGGTCCATACCATCAACCCGCGCCTTGGCGACTGTGCTGGTGAAAATGATGTTCTAAACCATACACGCATAGCGACGTTGTCGGAAAAGGTTGGCTGACTCTTGCATGCTGGAGCTTATTCAGATCGAGAGTACTAGTCTCCAGGTAGCTATCCATGGGTGACTCCATTCAAGAAGTTTCGCACCTGTATGGAGGTGACACAAATTATAAAGGCTTCACTGACTTCATATTTTGGTGTGTCATGAGGTGCATTGGGCGAGAGCCAGCTACTGCTTATGCAGGAAATTTGGGTATCTTCTGACCATGGTACCTCGTATCCGTCCTTCTGTCTGGCTGCCGACCACTTTTGCTGATATGTTGAACTCGGTCTTTTGTGTCTTAAGGTGTCTTTTTTGCCCCCCCCCTTGCTACATAATCCATCGCAGCAAATGTGGCCATTGCGGACTATTTGCAGTGCATCTTAGAGGCCGCATTCTCGACACTTGAGCGATATACAAGTAGGTAGAATTCGAAACTACCTATGGCCGGTATCACCTTCAGTAAAAGGTGACGAGGGTGAGTCGTGAGGGCCCTTGCGGATGCATTGGCTGTTAAATTAATCCGGGCTTTGATTGCGGGATGTTTTAACGACATTTCTTCTCTGCTTCTCTTTGTGCGCAAAAGTAAACTCGCTCTTCCATGTGTCATTACCGCGACCCCAACTACGGTACGATTAAAGCAGTTTCCGATCGTAATCAGGCGCATATGATAAATTCTATAAGCCACCAGAGCGCGTCAAGCCCACGGCAAAAAAAACAGATTGAGCTAGTTGATATAAGCACCTTTCACCCCATCGCTAGGTTGAGGAGACTTGGCGGAATACTCTTGTGGACTCTGTTCACCTTTTTTGTTCAGATCTCCGTCCTAAGAAGTTTTAAGAGTGATTCCTAGTCGTTCAACAAACTTACATCTTCAAAAGATTAGCATTTCCCTTTTTTGCTCTGTGGATGTGGACCATTGCTTTCGTTTGAGGTTGACCGGTCTTGAGACGCGCCATAGTTGGTGTACGCTTTAATTTCTTCCTGGGCAGCCAGATATGATCTGGGAACCTATTCCCCCGGTAAGTTTTTGTCGAGCCCTCACTCACCGAAAGCAAGGGTAACCACTCTGCGACAGAAACCGTACCACCCTGTGCAAGGGGAGATCGCAAGCATCTGGATCATAAGACTTTGTTATATACCCGCCTATTCGACAGCGACGAGAAGTCGCAAGACACGCACACGTTCACGCGTCAAACATACGCCTACACCGTATCCATACGTGCTATTTGTTTCACTCTTTCCTACCCTTTCTATGTATTGGCCATGGGGTTCGCCATTGTTTTTTACTGCTTTGACTTCAGGCACCGCTGCGAACAACGCGCGGGCAAACCTGACCACCTAGTGAGCGGCGCAGCTCCCGCACGTGTACAACACGCCACGATGTAGCGTTCGCGGTGGCAGGCGATGGGGGTAGACCTAAAGAAGATGCAGCCATAGCAGCTTCAACTTAATTTCTTCGCTTCTTTGAACTTTGAATGTACAGCTGCGGACGTGTCAACTTCGCCTACGGAAAGGATTAAGCTCGTAGTAATCCTACAGTCTATATTCGAGAGACTTTGAGCAATGGCTTATCAAAAATTAGATGGTGAGGCTTTCGCTGACCATTGTTGTTTCGCCAGATTAAAATTCTATAACATCTTGAAAATCTTGGAAAGAAGAACATACTGTTGTCGACGTTCTTTCGACAGTGCTTCTCTTCATAAGGTCGGTGCTCATTTCGGACGTTGAGCCAGGTGTTTTGCCCTTTGGCGATTGCCCCTCCTTTGCAGTCTAAAACACAGAAGTCAGCGAGAAGCCACGAAAATACCGCTGTAAGATTCTATCTAGTAAAGTCCCAAGAACAACTGTGACTTGTGAAAACCTGCTTTCTAAACTGTTGCAGGACACGGCATCACAGAGACCGGTAAAATTTGTTCAGCACGCTCCCCTTACAAAACCTTCTCAAGCGAGGGCTATCCCCCACCCCTTCATCACAAAAGCTGACTTCATGCATCTCTCCCACGTCCCTAATTCGCTTGCTTTTCCAGCGTACAAGTTCCCTGAAACCCGTCGACAGCCGACAGGAAAGGTGAAAATTGCCATTTCTTCACAAAAGACCTTTTCGCAATAATACACCCCCCCCCCTCAGTAAGTCAAATACAGCTCCTTCTCGTTAGCGCACTCGAGGAAGACGGACTGTAAATGGCATATTACACATTCAAAGGCACGTTCCGTGACCAAAAATGATGACTAGTGGGACTCCTGATACTGATGACATTGTGGGAGCAAACTCAGTCGGTAGTGAAGAGAAACCAGAAAAATCTTCGGTATCGAAAAGAGCTTTACGAGCGTATGCAAAGGGAGGGTGTCCTTGAAGCAAGTTCTTCCTTGGGTTTCCCTCAGCACGCATTGGAAAGAGTTAGTAGCGGAGCTACTGCACAACAGTGTAGCCTCTAGAAATGGTCCACTAAGAGTGGTATGGGGCATTGGGAGGTGCATTGCCGGGTGACGTTGTTATCAGGTGAGCCGTTGAGCTGCAAAAGTGGTACAACCTCTGCGCTTGTGGGCGTGTGAACTTGCATGTACTCCAGCAGGTTACATAGGTTCTTGCACGCTATGAAATGCGCTATGAACCCAACCAGTCGCCATGAACTGAAGTTATCCCTACGGCACGGATAGGTTCGTGCCCGAAGTTGGGCGAAAGAAGACAAATACAAAGATCATTTTTTTCTAATTTTATAATATTTGTGTAAAACCCTACCGCGTTCGACGATGGCAAGACGGCAGTCGAGCAGTCTTCATCATTCTGCAAATGGTACAAATTTAAGTGGTAATAAGTTGAATAAAGTTAAATTAATAATAAATTAAAGTGCACGATACCGATTTGCTTTCTGGACTGCTCCCCGTAGAGAAGGTACCCACAGTCTTCTCCGCTGTGAATGACGGGGTGTGTCAGCGGGGATGGGTTGGGCGTGGCCGCAAACCCGTTCTTCACAAGTTGTTGAGGCGAGCAAGCGACGACTGTCAATTCGCTCATATCAATCCTTTTTCACCATGTTGCCGCCACCCCCTCAACAACTGGTTCTGAACCAGGTGGAGATGGGCCAAATACACCCCCGCCTATACTCTCGTTCATCCTCAGCGAATAAGGCTGTATAATTCGTACAGAAGAGAGAAGACCGCACAAATAAACGGTTTCTTGAGCAAATTTATGCATCATCTAAAGGGGCGCGATCGTGAAGCAAGGCAGTTTTTGCGCACACTTAAGGGGCAGTGTTGCTTGCCTTGAGTGTGTGGTGAATATCACACAGTACTGAACGCGCTCTAGCAGAAATTAGCGCAATGCCCTGCTGTGCTATAGAAGTTTCACGAAGAAGGACTCTATCCGCCCGGCAGCCAGCATCTTCCTTTTTTCTCCCATGCTACGCATCATTTGCGCTCATCTCGAAGGCGACACTCGTGCACTCCATAATCTGGAGATTGGAGAGGGCGTGGCTGCGGGCTTCATTTGATAACTCCCGAGAGGAAGGCAGCCCTGTCGGGGATTTCCGTTCCTAGTCGATTGCAATCATGTCTTTTTCCAGCACATTTTGAATGGAAATATCCCACCAGTAGCGCATCCTACGACATGTTCAAATGAAGTACGCAGTCACGCCCTCTCTATTTCCAAGATATGGTAGTACCTCGTGGAGTCTGAGCACTATCTGTCTGTGCTTTGTATAATAGCAGGGATCCAAGGAGGGGGGGGGGGCAAAAAAAAGACACTTCGGTAGAAGTCACATATCAGTAAAGTTTTCGCAGCCCATACTAGAAGACTTGAATACGAGTACCATGGCGGGAGATACCCAAGACGTTCCTCGTAAGGCTAGCGAGCAGGTCTCGCCCAACACTCAACAAAATATGAATGCCATTGTCAATCGTAGCCTGACTCGAAGAACAGCCTATGGAGTGTCACGGTCGCCTCCAAACAGCTGTGAACTATCTTGTTAGAGGAGTCAACCGTGACCTACCTGGGGAGCCACACCTCCTCATTTGGAAGACTACCTCCAAAATCGAGCAGCTCCGACGCGCCCGCTACGATGCAGATCATTTCACCGCAGTCGCAAGACGCTTGTTGATAGCATGGACCGGAAGTTCCTGGAATGGGAAGACCGATATCCTCTTAGTGGACCCCGGACGGAAATGGAATGCGACGGTTACATCGACCAACTCGAGCAGAATATCCAGCCTTCATGCCGTAGCCTATACCATCTTTCAAACTTCGTGCTACAGCATTTGGGTGTCACCACATGGAATGGAAGGGCATTGGAAAACTTTCGCCTACTTGGAATAGAAGGACATCGAGAGCTTGAAGAAGACGGAGCATCCACGTTTGTCACCTGACCTGAACCCCCTCGATTACCGGGATGGGGAACAGCGAACTCAGGCACCGAATCACGGTCGCGTGGCAGATTCCTCGAGGGCAGGGCACACCATTGGTTGGGGATTTTAGTCGACTCTATAATAACGACAACCCTTTTTTTGGTAGTTGTACGTACTCCCCCCCCCAGCCTTTGTCCTTCCTCGAAGCCGGCCGTCGAGCGGGGGTAAATCGGGAAGCGGGGGGGGGGCGGGGAAAGCGCAATGAGTGACGTGAAACATGGGGGGGGAATCACGCAAAGTCAACCGCCACTCCCACAACGCCAAAACGTAAATACGACCCCACCTCCTCCCAAAAATGATCAAATACACCCCCCCCCCTCCCTTTACAACGTCCATGAAGCGAGAAAAATCAACTAAATCATTAAAATTTCTACAGCGCAAATATGACCCCCGCCCCCTCCCTGGCGACAAATAACGATCCTTGGGACGCGCGCCAGCAACGATGTGCCCTGCTCGATGGCGCTCGTCCAGAAGGCTCTGGCTGAGTAGTACGTGAGTGTACAATGTGTTGCTGAATTGATGGTGGAAATGTCCAACTAGAATTTATCAAGGTGTAACTTAGTCGAGGAAGAGAAGTGTCCTCTTTGACCCTCTATTGTAGGAGTAAGCAGTTTCCTCTTAATCATCACTCTGATGGGACTGATCATAAGAATGACTGTTTCTGAGCTTTTAAGATGTTCACCATACATACATTCCCCTTTCTAAACAACATTCTTCGGGTGAGCAAACTTAAGACCCAAACCCCAGTTGGTCTAAACAAAAAACAAATAAAGTTGGATTGGTATCAGCGTAAACATACTATTACTATCTTTTCTACCATACGCTGGGTGACAATCTGCGTCTCGTCTCCTTCTCCGTAACTCTCTGTCGTTTCGCTGGAATAGCCTGCATATATCACATACAAAGTAATATATAAAGCGTTTGCGTAGACACCAATCGTTATTTGATGACGGGAGAGGGACTTCGAGGCGAAGGGGAGGGGGAAAAGGGGGGGGCGGGTGGATTAGTGGGATGAATTACTATGTGAGCACAAGCGAGGAATATGAACAGATTCAGAGTGGAGCAGAATGCTCAACTTGCTCTCTTCAGACTTCTGATACCTAGTGGTGCCGGTTACCTGAAGGCAGTTTTCGCGAAAGTGGGTAGTGGGGCACAGTCACGAGTGACAAGGTGCCACTTATCACAGTTGTGAAGAGAAAGCCGGAAAAAATTCTCAAAACGCCTCAAAGACAGTTGGCACGACAATATGCTACTTTAGCAAGGTGTTTCTGGTAGGGTGATGGCGAAAAACGAACGAAACGGTCAAAATCTGCGAAGAAAAGCCTTAATCTTCACGACCCAGGGAGCAATTTCGGGCAGTTCCCGTAGGCATTGTACCAATAACCGCTACGGTAGATATGGCTAGATGGCTACGCACTCATATCTCCATGCAGCACCGCAGCCGCTTTGTACCAAATTCTTCGCTTCACATTGTACCCTCGCAAATGAAGCGATACGAGCAACAGGAACGGTCGTCCATTCGCGGACAGGCGGGCGCGGTGGGCGTCTGGGCGGTATTTCGGGTTGATAGGGCCTTACTGAAAACTTCCATCAAAAAAGGCGCCACGCAGCACCTGCTCAAGGGGCCGAGAATTCCGCCCTGCCAGGCGTATTAATCCTACTCGTCTCAGGGATTTATCCTTCCAACTGCCTTTACATATATAGGACCATCTGCCGTACATAGGACCATCTTATACAATTCAGAGAACACGGAATCCAGTCTTCTCCAAATGCCAAGCTTTCTTTTTGCTCTGCACTCTCATGTTTTGCGTGCAGAGAATGTCTGTGACCACCCTTACCTTACACTGCCAACGTTTCACCCAAGGCATTATCCACCCCGAAGACTCCTCTTTCTGAAAAAGAGCACCCCTGACTCGTGGTTTTTGCACCTTTCAATACCTTGACAGGTACAGCCCTCCATTTCTCTGCGTTCTGGCCTTTCGCACCGAGACAACCACCAAAGTTCGAGTTGTCACGTAACTTGAACGGCGTTGGCTGCGCTGTTGAGAAGATATTTCATTTTTTGGGACAACTGTAACCCTGCCTTTGTCGAACACAAGAGAAGATGACAGCTTCTCTAAACTGCAAAATTTCACGAATAATCGATCAACCCATTTCCGGCGATGAACGTACGTAGCCACGCCTACCCCTTATAAGGTTGGAGTAATGTATGTGCATTTCTCAAGAATTCAGATGTTCAAAGCGAGCAACTACTCGACATCTCTTGATATCGGCCATATATAGGTTGGAAAGAAAGTCCTGTCAGTGTTTTTTAGATAGCCTACAGTTTTTGATCTTCGAAGCTCGAACATGACGTAACATGCTAAGGTTGTAGAACATTCTCGAAGCTTTTCCACAAGAGGTATATCAAGGCTCCTGCTCTTCCCTGTGTTTATTTATGATGTCAGTTTCACTGGAGCAGCTTCGAGTGATCATCTTCTATGAGTGGCGCCGCGGCACTGGAGCGGCGGCGCATCAACTGTGCATTGGGGAGGACACCACCACCGTCAGGACTGTCCACCGTTGGTTCGCTCGCTTCGCGAAAGGAGAGACGATCTTTGAAGACAAACCTCGTCTGGGACGCCCTCGCGGCGTAGAAGATTCCGCCGTTCTCGAACCTGTCAGAGAGGATCCAGAGGCTACCACGCGCAGTATTGCGACAAGGCTAGGGTGTAGCCATACAACAGCTCTAAGCCGCCTTCAGGCCCTTGGCTACAGAAAAGTCCTCACGCGATGGATACCTCATGCTCTAACAGATGGCACGCGGTATGCCAGGGTGAGCATCTGTCGATCCCTCCTTCTACACCGTAACCGGAAGGAGTTTCTGGAAGATATTGTGACTGGAGATGAAAGCTGGGTCCTCTATGATTCCAACCTACGTCGTGCGAGTGTGGCCTGCCCTCGAGGGAAGACCCGCCTACGCAAGATCGAACCTGCTCTCCAAGAAGGTCCTCCTCTGCTGCTTCTGGGATTCGAAGGGCATGCTGCACCACGAGCTGCTTCCGCAAGGGCATACGGTTACCGCTACCGTTTACGCCGCCCAACTCCAGAAACTCGCGCAAGCTCTTCGAGAAAAAAGCGGCCGAGACACGAGCTTCGGTGCACCTTTTCCATAATAACGCCAGAGCACATGTGGCTAAAGAAATCCACCGACAAATTGTAGAAGCTAGCTGGACGCCGTGTCCCCATCCACGGCATATTCTCAGGACCTAGTCCCCCTCCGACTACTACATGCTCCGCTCTCTCAAAGGCTTTCCTAGGTAAGAAACCTTCAGCGAATTTGATGGCATCAATCGAGAAGTTGCCTACTTCTTCGACTCGCAGCCTCCTCAGTTCTGGGAGAAGGGGATA